ACCTCATTAGCAATGCTCTATAGGGAAACTAACTTGCAAACAGCCATCACAAAGAACACCGATTCCAGTTAGATTTTCAGGCAGACGGGCGAAAATTCCACTAAAGTACCAGATTTCAGAAGGGCAAACTTTGGACAGTTTAAGAGGCAGCTGAGAGAGGGGTACGCGCTTTGGCCGTGAACCCGACAGATGACACAGACCTGGATAACGAGATCTGATTGTTTAGTTCCACCCATAATTTAAATAGTGAGTTACTTAATGCACAAAAGGTTAAGAACATACCATACAAAAACTCCAGATCAGACAACAATGACCCTAAATGATAAATAATTATTTAAAGAACATCATTGGCCAAAGGAAGGCTATAGGTAGAAGGATAACCGTATGTAAATTCACCGGGACTTATAGGCATTGGCGAGCAGAGTTAAAAACCGAGATAAGGAAAGCAAAGAGGAATAATGAGGCAAGGATAGCAAGGGAGGCGAAGACAAAACCCCAAAAAGGATTCTACCAAATGTATCAAACTAAAACACGAGAAAAGATTGACCAATACGGTCAGACTCAAGCAGCTCACTGATAACGACGGAGAAAATGAGCAATAATTTGAATAAATATTTTTCAAATAGTTTTCACCACCGAAAATCTAAAAACATGATACCCGAGGCACCTAATTTATTCAGAGATAGTGAAGAAAAACAATTAAGGGGAGATAGTAGGTGACTAGCAATCTATGTTAGTAAGCAACAGACAAACTAAAGCCTAATGTCACCTGGTCCCGGCGAGATATTTGCCAGAGTATTAAAGGAATGGGCGAAGAGCTTATATGCCCTTAGCAAAAGTTGTTTAATATGTCCTTAAAAACAGGTGTAGTACCAGAACCCTGGAGGATAGCTTATCGTAATACCGATTTTCAAGAAGGGGGATAGATCACTATCCTCTAACTACCGCCCAATCAGTCTAACATCAATAGTAGGCAAATTACTGGAAGCAATCATTTCAAACTCTATTCGAAATCACCTGGAGAAGCACCGATTGATCAATGATTCCCAGCATGGCTTCACAAGCGGACGTTCTTGCCTAACTAATCTATTAACATTCTTTCATCAGTTTCGAATCAGTGGACGAGGGGCAATAATTATGATGTGGGTATATCTCGACTTAGCAAAGCCTTTCTGACAGAGTCCCCACGAAAGACTAATTAGAAAGGCAGAAGCCTGCGGCATCAAAGGTGACATCCTTAAATGGATTAGGCGTGGTTACAGGACAGGAAACAGCGAAAGATACATTAACGTACCAAGAAGTCCCATTGGAGCAACGCCACAAGTGGAGTTCCCTGCTCAGTACGGACCATTATTGTTTATTATATACATAAACGACATAGATATCGCATATAGACAGCAACATAAGTAAATTTGCTGATGACACTAAAATAGGACGCGGTTATCAAATCTGACGAGGACTCGGCAAAACTAAGGAAGATCTAAACAAATTTTTTCGAATGGTCTGAAAAAATGGCAGATGAAATTCAATGTCGACAAATGCAAAGTACTCAGTATAGGAGATGTAAACACAGAAACCAGATACCGTGATGAACAACGATGCCATAGAGAACTGATCATGGTAGAGAGACGAGTAATGATAAGTAGAACCTTAAGCCAAGTAAACAATGTGTGTTTTGCTCAGAATAAGGCTAATAAAGTACTTTGGGTTCATACAAAGGAGCAAGTTAGTTACAAGACTACGAGGTCATCCTAAAACTGTGACCTTGCTCTTAGAGACCACACCTGATTACGAAATCTAGTCTCAATACCAGACATTATGAATGGATATAGAATCCTTGGAAAGAATTCAGGAGGAGAATGACAAGACTAATCCCGGCATTAGGAACCTTGAGCATAGAGACAGGTTAAAGCATCTTAATTTGCACTCTCGAGACGTGAGAGCGAGGGGCGACCTGATAGAGGTGTATAAGGAAGAGACAGCTAAACAAAAGGACATTACAAAGGTACTCAAATTATCCAACCAGGAGCCAATCTAACAATGGTTTTAAATTAGACAAATTTAGATTTAGTGAAATAGGTAAACACTGGTTTGGAACAGAGTAGTGATGAATGGAAATGGGTTACTAAATATCATCATTAACTCGAATACGCTGAATTGCTTCAAAACATAGGTTGGATGCTCATATGAGCACAGGGGTTGGGTGTGTAAACGACTGCCCAGTATGTGGGCCAATAGGCCCGCGTCGCTTTCTCCATTCTATGTTCTTATAATTTTATGAGGGTGCGGTGCATTTTGCACGGTACTCAGTTGAGCTGAGGACCTAAGCCATCATTATCTTTCAATTTGTTCACTGCTGGGGAGGAACTGGTCGGTTCAGCAAATATTTTGATGATATCATCATTGATGAAGGAACGGATTTGAAAGATCAAGGTCAGCTGGAAATGAGTGAAGGAGGTCTGAGCATAGTTGGATGGTGCGGTCCCCAACCTATTTTATTGAGGGCATGTTTGCTGTTTTAATTTTTGGAGATTTATGGAGATCTCCCTAACAATGTCCCTCGATTTCTGCGCCCCTCACGTAGGGGAGACCCTGCACTATCACAGAGGTCCCCAGGTGAGTCGGCAGGCTGTGCTGACCTCCACCCTTCACACTAACACGCACTAGCGAGGTGTGGGGACAGAGGGCGTTTCAGACGAATACTCCCCTGTACGTCAACTGACAGGGGAATAGGTCCTTTCACGGCACGGAAGAGAAGAGTTAGAGTGGTAGAAAAGGTCTGAAAACTCACTGATGACTAAGGGAGGTCCGATACTGTAGGAGAGGCTCAATGTGTCGATCGAATCAACAGATTTGTCAGATGGAGAGTTGAAGTCAGGTGCTTGTGTTTTCCAGGGTAAGTGGGAAGGTGGGAGAGGTCCAAGACTAGCCAATCAGCTGTGTCTGTTCGTTCTCCGTCGTCCCCTGTCGCTCTGTGTGTCTGCTAACTGTGATGTGTCCTGACTCCGACTGACTGACTGTCTGTTTTCAGGCGTGGCCGTATTTATACAATTTACCAGGATCAGGATCTGGGGTGCGCGTAGCGAGGGACCAATCACAGCGGCTCAAGCGTAAGGTGTGAAACGCTCTGATCCTGAACTGGAGGTTGATGGTCGAGACTAGGTCGGCGATCGTACCCCTACGTCCTCTGCATAGACCTAGTCTCTCGGCGTAGCTGGCTGTACGCAGACACTCTCTCTCCTCACCATGAACGGTTACGAGTTTGTTAACGTGGCGCGGATACGTCCGGACACGCCGACCTGCCCCAAGAAACTAAACCTCCTAGTTCTCCAGAAGTTTTTCGAAGCTAATGGGATCGTGGGGGTCACCAAGGTAGAACGTCTAAAGCTCCATGGTGACATCAAGATCACCTTCGTCGAGAAGGGCATGCCCGCACAGCTCGCGGAGATCCCAGACATCAACGGCATTCCTTTTAAAATGTTTGCCTACATGTGGGACAACTTGAAGCTGGGTGTAATCTCCCACGCCGAAATTGCCCACATGGACAAAGCAGAGCTGAGTGAGCTCCTCAAGGAGCAGCAGCTCCAAGTTGTGAAGAAGCTGTCCGACACCACTGCCCTCATCGGACACCACTCCACCCTACCCAAGGAAGCTCAACTGGCGTGGGTAACTGTGCCAGTCAAGCCCTACTGCAGACCGAAACGGTGTTACAAATGCCAGCACTATGGACACACTGTAAACAAGTGTGAGGCGCAGGAAGACACCTGCTCCATGTGTGGCAGCCCTGGACACCGCTACACGGTCTGCCCCAACACAGAGAAAAAATGCGCTGCCTGTGGTGGCCCACACTCCTCCGCCGACCGGACCTGTCCCAGATGGAAGGAGGAATGCAGGGTAGCCAAGGCTCGTCTTGAGAAAAAACTGAGCTACAAAGAGGCCCTCCTTGCTGTACGCTCCCAAGAAAAGAAAAAACCAGCAGTAAAGAAAAACCAAGAAAAGAAAACTCAACAGAAGCTGCCCACCACACAGAACCAAGAACACCACGTGGCCCGTGGTGCTGAAGCCCACGCGGCCCGTGGTGCTGAAGCCCACGAGGTCAACCTCACCCTCTCTGACTTCTTCCACACCTATGAGGACTTAATACACGAGGAAGACGAACAAGAAGACCCAAACACAAACGAATGGACACTCCAAGAGAGCAAGAAGAGAAGGAGAGTGAGAAGAAAATCGACATCAAGCTAAGAAGACCAAGACATCCCCTCCACACAAGAAACCAAAACACAATCAAGCCGACCAAGCACTGAACATCCATTGCCCAACCCAACACGCACCTGACGCTTGACCTGACGCTAGCCTGGCTTTGTCTTGTCGCCTCCCTGCCGCGTCCAGGCGAGTTGCTGTTGCTGCCTCCATCTTATAATCCCTCACGCAAGCGGTGTTTAGCCACTGCATCTGTTCTCTCCTCCTAAAATTCACTTCAATCCTCCCTTTATTCTTCTCCTGAACCTCCTTCCCCCCTGTCACTAGCATTTTTCGATCGATCGCTGTACGCTGACTTCTCCCACACGACTACGATGAACTCCCGGACCACAAAAATCCAAACCAAACCCAATCCTCCCCTAACACCTCAGACTCCCAAGAATAAAATGGCAGCCCATCCCCCCACAGAACTAGTAGTCAAGACCCCTAGACCTCAGTTGGGAGTTGTAGGGGAGAGGAGCCACTACAATACCTTCAAACTTACCCACACACTCTCAAATTGTATGATTAAACACCATGTATGACAAACATGGCGAAGAGGATGAAAGTAAATAAGTATAAAACTTACTGGCTCGGACTATGACAAAAATAGTTAATCTTGAAATAATAATAATTTTTCTTTGATTAAGTTTCGACTCGTTTTCCATGAGTAATAATGAGTTATATTTTGGTTTAGTTTACCCAAATCGTTCTCTTCAGTATTTAGGTTTTCTCTGATTAGAACACTTTCAGTATCAGGTGAATGTGTGTGTGACAGTTGAGCTTCCTTATTAGATATTCGTTGATCAAAAGTCAAAACAAAACAAAGAAGTGAAAATTTGTCGCCTTATTCTCCTATTGACATGACTGTTGGAAGGAGAATTAGAAGAATTTTAGGCAGCTGATCATTCTGGTGTTAGTGAAACAGGAGTCCGTGGTTTTAACATATACAGTAATGTTTATCTTCAGAATTAATCTTACCTTTGATATGTCACTTTAATAATGAAGTGGTTGGTAAAGTTGCAGCTTAATTATGCTTGATGATTAATTAAAATAAATGAAATATAGGTATTATTTTAAGTTTCGGTCATCCAAGGAATCATAGGACCATGGCAGATTTATTTGATGATTACAGTAAATATTTCAACTTACGACATTACCTCCAAAATAATGACTATCCAAGAAGGCGAAGGTGTAGAAGAGAGTGACCAACAGAAGGAATTGTCTGAATTGGTTGAAATTTTGTCTACACTATGATATTAAACACAAAAATGTAATAAAACCTGACCTAACATACCCAACCTACGGGCGTTTTTGGTCAGGCTGTATAGGTTTTATGCATTGTCGTTTCCATTTCTGTGCTTAATATAATGTTATTAGCATTATATAAAAAAAATAAATACAAAATAATGCATAGAACATAATAAAACTGGCCCTTACCTGGGCATGTTACAGTAGGTAAGTCGATAAATAAAATCACAGGAAAAATGTCCCGCCATTTATGCATTGACAACTCAATATTATATATATGATGGCATTGCACATAAGTTGGGTTAGGTTTTATTCTGTGCCTTTTATGTGACTTTTTTGTGATTTTCCTGGATTCTGTTGGTCAGGTACTCTTAGGTACTGTGTTTTAATATCATATTAGTGTAACGAAAATTTTTCAACCAATTCGGACAATTCCCTCTCGTGATCTTCTCTTCCACCTTCTACAAATATTGAAAGATAACATAACCTATATCCAAAGTCCAAATAGCAAAATATAACTTTCTATAGCAAATGCAAATGTCAGTAACCAATCATAACCTAATAATTTTAGGTGCCAAGGAAAAATTAGAGTCAGATTACTCAAAAGCAATTAAATGTTTGTGTGTGTTTAACTCAACATTCTTCCTCACCTTTACAGCTCTGCCCAGTTTGCCAGAAAACACTGATCAATTTATGGTTTGACCTACTTTGACTCTCAGGTTGAGCAATGTGTTTTTCCAATGGTTTAGATAATTTTAAGACATTTTTCTTGACGTTTCCCGCAAATGACTTAAATATACCAGGATCCAAGGGGGTGGAGCCACTCTAGTTGGGAGATTAGGTTAGGTTAGGTAATTTTGGAACTATTTGTAGAAACGTCATAGAAAAGTGTCTTAAAATGTCTAAACCACGGGAAAACACATTGCTCAACTAAAGAGCTGTGGTTGAAATTGAAAACCTACAAAATTAAAGCTGACACACTTTTTTTTTGGTAGTGGTAGTGGGTCACATCTCCATAAATAAACATCATCAATAAAAATAAGGTACAAAATATATGTACAGCAGCCATATACAAAACGTCATTTGGGTTACTGTTTAGTGAAGGAACAGGCAACTTAGTTAGGCTTTGACGAGAGTTATCCACGGCCATGGAACCTAACCCCCCTATATCCTAGAAGATGACCACTGGGTTTTTCATCATATAACAAATTCTTTAATTATTACTTCCTTCCTTTTACAGTTAGCATATAAAAATCAAACCTTTACTTAATTTCAGTGATTTAAAAAACAAAAACATTTTATTTAAATCAAACAACCCTGCTTTAGAACTTTATTTTTGAAATTTTACCATAAAATATAAATATTTGTTTTTGCTAGTGTGTACTGTGTATCTAAAATTGAAAAATGTCAGTTTTGAAAGAGGTGAGTGTTGAGTGTTGTCGGAGTTTTGACTCATAGTTCTAGGAAGGGGGGCTGGGTTAACTAGCTACCGAATTAAAAAAATCTCTATAAATGAAAGCTTATTTCTTCCCTCAACACTAACTTAAAGCAGATGGAGAAGTTGCACATAATTTAGTTCAATACAGTACAGTCTCTTTTTTTTTTCTCCATTTTTTGTCTATTGTCTATGATTCAATTTTGTATTTCCACACCTATTTTTTTTCTCCTGGTTTCATATGTTGTACTGTTTGTTGTCATTTATTCTTCTCAATATTAGTTCTTCCTCCTTATATACACATAATAATAATAATAATAATAATACACTAATAATAAATACCCGATATGTAAAATCATCGTACAAGTTTATACTTGCCTTGTCTTGCGTATTGACATTGCTTGTGGTAGCTATTAAGTTAAGTGTATTTGCTGTATAGACCAGTGCAAGTATACAACATATAACAGTATATATGGACTGTGGACAAGGATAATATATTATAGGGGGTCCTCGTTATAAGTGCACCCAGTCCTCGCTTAACGTTGTCCCAGACAACGTTGTTTCATTATAATGTTGCTACTCTTTAGGTACCCCATGATTCCGACAACTTTGTTTTACGACCCAACTGATTCATTATAAACAACATGACTAGGCTTGTCATCTTCATCTTGGCTCGCTATGTCGCATGAGCGTCACAGCGTCCCTGCTTTTCTCCCAGTCATGCCTCAAGGCCATTATAGATACTGTTACTGTAACCATTTGAATTGGCTCCCAAGTGCCCATCAAGTGTTAGTAATGATAGTGTTGTGAAGAAGCAATGCAAGACCATTAGCCTTGCTACGAAAATGGAGGTTTTAAACTGTTTTGAGAAAGGTGAACGTGCTGGATGTTGGTGTAGCGTTAGGTCTAACCCCCACAACAGTGTGTACTATCCCTTGAATTTATGTATACAGGTACTCCTCGACTTACGACCACCCGGACATACAACCGCCGTAGTAGTATAAAATATTTTTCAAATTACGTATTTTCGAGTCCTGACGTTAGTGATTGCGCTGTGTACTGACAAAATTTTTGTTTGTAATTCCCTTCAAAATGGCTGGCAAGAGTAAAAGTGAGAGTTCTCGTGGTGCTGAGAAGAAAAAGAGACCCATTTTCGAATTAATATGTATTATTTTCGACTTACGACCTGGTCGTCAGTCCGGAACCCCGTCGTAAGTCGAGGAGTGACTGTATATGTGATGTATTTTATGGGGCAAAGGGAGGCTGGGGAACGTAACTAGCGTATTTTATCTATTTCTTATGGGGAAAATTCATTCCGTTAATGTTGTGTTTTTCAAGAACGTGACCACGACGTTAAGCGAGGACTGGGTGTTAATACCCTGTACAGGGTAGGAGCTAGAAAAAGCCACTGGTAATGAAACCACTTATAAAGGGGAATTAATTCCCATAAGAATTAGTGGGAATAGGGTCTAATGAGGACCATCACATTGTTAGTGACACTCATAAGTTTAATTTGATAACATTTAGCATTTACATATACGTATACCTTAGAAACATTTGTTAAATATTTGATTACACATTATTTTATGAAATTTTATAACTTTGCAACTTATTTAAGGTAATTAAAGTTGTTTTGGGTCAGTGTTTTGACACTACGCAAGCTACCTAACCACACTATTGCATGCACACTTCAGTGAAAGTGGTTCACTGAGACACGCTCACCACTTTTCGTACAACATGTAACTTTTAATTTCACGTCCATTCCATAGCTACTCCACTTCATTTTAGCCACGACACCACCTTGCTTCAGTTTGGATTTGATGTCTACAAAAATAGTCCACCAATGTCACCAGATACAACAAAGTTGATAATTATAGTTCTTGGAGCACCTCAAAATAATGCCTGTGGACACAGGTGACTGGTACTGCTCATGCTCTGTGGGCGAGAAGGATGAACTTTAAGGGAATGGGAGACGGGCGGGAATTTCAATCGCTCAAACACTTGTGCTCTCAAAGATTGACGGATTTCAGCCTTAGAATCCTCTTAGCTGCGGGGCTTTTTACGTGTAGGTCGACAATTAATTGAGCACTTAAGTGCAAAACCACTTATAATAAAGTGTACTGTACCTAGAGAGTGCAGGTATACAACAATAGTAGTGGTGTAAACAGGAAGGCAGCCATCAAATGCTGGTTTCCAGTACAATACAGCACTGTTTTAATTATCTGATATTCTTCCACAAACTACTTTTATTGTACATTCACATAATTGATCACACCTTATGGTGAATGTATGTAATCATAGTATAATTTTTCAAAAAAATTAATTTTTCTTCTTGTAGGTGTTAACAATGAACCCAGCAAGTCTTCGTCATGCGTGTGGGTGGCGCATAGCACGCACCTTGTTGACCACAGTCAGGCAACTGTCGATCACAAAGCAACATGACAGGGTAAGACTTCATACCTTAAAACATGGAGTGACAGTGTACAGTATACAGAAAATGTTCCTTCAGTTTAATACCACATTTTATATTGTATATTAAGTCGTCTTCTTCCCACATTATTTGTGGGTGCACAAGGTTTGAAACCCAAGTCCTGGTAATTCTCAAATAGGCTTGCTATGTTGGCACCTGTGTCAGTCAGTTGAGAACCCCTGGAGAAGACCACTGTACTGTGCAGTACTGTCTTTGATCATATGTTTGTGTGTGGGTTGATCCTCTGTATCTTGCAGTCAGAGTTGAACATGTTAAGGAAAAATTATTAAAAATGTTTTTGTTTTCAGAATAGACTGGTGGGTATCTTGGCTTGGTTTAGGGAGCAGTATGATGGCATTGTATTCTCTAAGGTCATGCAGAATCATCTGTACAAAGGTCTCATCTCAGGCATGCGGAGCTTATATAATCCTCCAGTTCACTTCACAACAATATTGGTGCTCTGTCCTAACGTGATAATAGATCAGGTAAGAAAATTTGGGGTTTTGCATGACCAAGCGAAACTATTGGTACAGCTATTTTATTACACACTAGACAATTAGGATGGTCCAAAGGTATGAACATTTTATTTCCTATTTTCCTCAAGTCTGCCCTTATTTCATATGACCATCAAAATTTCATGTAATTTAAATTAGCTACTCCTCGACTTACGACCTACTCGACTTACGACCACCCAGACATACAACCGCCTCAGTCGTGCCACAATTTTGTAAAATTAAGTATTTTCGAGTCCCGACGTTAGTGATTGCGCTGTGTACTGACAAAATTTTCATTTGTAATTCACTTTAAAATGGCTGGCAAGCTTAAAAGTGAGAGTTTTGTGGTGCTGAGAAGAAAAAGAGACACCCATTTTAGGTTTTCTATGTATTATTTAAGCATTTTCGACTTACGACCAATTCGACTTACGGCCTGGATTTGGGTCCCTAACCCCGTTGTAAGTCGAGGAGCAGCTGTACTGTATTTAGGGGTTGCTAGAATATGAATATAGTTTTATAAAGAAAAAATTGCATACAGTCAGTTCTGCTATAACGCGATAGTTGTGTTCTTGTAAAACATCATGTTATAGAAATTCGCATAATAGAAATAACAGAGCTTATGGAGAAAATAGGGTTAGGTGCAGATTACTCCAAATCGAAAACAAATTTCGTAGTTAGCCTAACACAAAGGATAGCACAGTCTAAATAAATGTTACATTCATATCTAATAATGAAATCATACAGTAAATGTTACACTTTACCTTGAAAAAATATGAATATAACTTGATGGGGGAGAAGGTTGATGTTGAGGCTGAGGAGTCATGAAACATCAAGCTTTTCTTCAAGTGTTATAGCCTTTCTTTTACGATCACCACCGGAAATGCGATCACCAGAACGCTTCCTGGAGATATTCTTCTTTTCCATAGTCACAAAATTGGAGAAACAGTAATCAGAATTCACTGAGGACGCTTAAAAACTTCACACTTGTTTCAAACTGAAAGTGTGGAGTAAACAGAGTGCGCGGGTCTAAAACGCTATGTATTTTGTTTTTCTCTCTTATTTAAAATTTTACAATTTACATATACAGTCAACCCTCACTTTACGCAGTCCCACATTCCGCGTTTCTACGTTTACGCGGTGCCCTGCCAGAACCCAGGATGCTCACATTCCGCGGTGGGTGTACCCCTTTACACGGGTGAAGTATAATTTTTTTATTTAGCTCATAAAATTCATACAAATTACCCGGCCAGAATATAATTTACATTGCTGGAATTCTTACAATTTGATGATCATTTTGAATATAAACATCATAGATTTTGCATTAGACATACAAATTTTAGATGTAATGATTGCTCTGAGTAAATATGTTATCTTTTGTGAAAAATATATGACATTTATATTCAAAATATTCCTGGTCTTTCAAGGAATCCAGCAATGTCAATTATATTATCCTAACTTTAGTTTGAGGTATTATTTATTACTATACCTCGTTTTCCCCCCAAAATTTCTCAGAGGGAAGAGCCGGCAGTGTAGTGTGAGAAGAGGGGGAGGGAGTTGTGTCCATTATTTGAATGGACATTAACTTGGCGACTGTATTTCTCTATTTCTCTTAAGTATTAATTGTGTGCATGTACCATCATAAAATTAAGATGTTATTTTTACTAGAACATAGGTATTGTGTTGGAAAAAGTGGAGTTTGGGGGTCAGCTGGTCTCTATTTCATTTAATCCCATATGTTATGTTATTCACTTTACGCGTTTCTCACTTTCCGCGGTACCCTGTGGGTTACATTAACCGCGTAAAGTGAGGGTTGACTGTACTGTACAGGTATACTGTATACATAAATATTACATAAATTATTTCTGCAATTGTTCACAAACAAAACATATAAATCAATTGAACATGTGATGTCGAACGTGAACTGTAAACACTGCATAACCCAGCGCCAAGCCACAACACTGTACAGTACACTTTAAACGCTACGTATTTAGTTTTTCTTTTATTTAAATTTTTACAATTTACATATACAGTATATATAAGTAAATTGTAATTTACATATTTTTCATATTATGCTACAGCGCCCACAAAACATGAGAAACGTTTGAGTCCCCCAGTAGAGATGTCCGTTCTCTATCCACTACCGGATGTCTTAGTCCTCCGTTTTCTTTTCGTGTACTCACTCAGGGACTCAAGTATTTCTGTATATAACACAGGATGATAAGGGAATTTTAAATTATGAGTGAATGAATTTATTATACAGTGATCAATTAACACAGTTTTGATGTGTTTAAGTAGTATTCAGGCGCCTTCAGCCTAGTAATGTTACGACATTCGTATCACTCATTGTAAACCACGAATTCCACCCATACAGAGAGAGAGAGAGAGAGGCCAAGCGCTCTATTTACATCACACACACATATATATTACAGACCGTATATCTCGGCCTATTTTATAATTGCAGTCATGTACTGAATATTCTATGTAAAAAATACAAATTTTAAATGAATTATTTATAGTGTGGTCGACTTCCTACACAAAGACGGGCTATAAATAGCCTTCTTATCTCCTCTCCATCTATTACCCTCTGTTCTCAGAGAGAAGGTCTTGGTAAATAACTCTTGTTTGTTTATTTTCATTGTTTGTCTAATTTATCATGTTGTATCAAAGTAATATTACTAAAAGTTGTAGGCAGCTACCAAACAGGGAGATACTACCGCCCGGGAAGATATTGGAAGCATAATGTACAGTATTGTCTAATGGTAGATCCTACTTCCATATGGCATCACGAAAATTGTGACCAAGTCTTAGGTTGCTGATCTATCTTTCTGCCTCATTTACACACAATTGCAGAGTTTCAATTGTTTCTCTTCCTTTGACAACACAACATACATACAATATAATTTTTCTCACCTTTGATCTTTTTTCCTTTTTGCATTTATTTATGGTTGGTTATTTAAAATAAGGCCAATTCACTTAAAGTATTGGCACCGGCTGGTGTACACTAGTGACTCACTTAAGCGTAAGTTATTTAACTGGAACTAATGTCGGTGTGAGTAAAATATTTCCATTTACTTGAAATAGATTTGCCGATTTATTTGTTCATTTATTTATTTATAATATACTGTAATATATTAAATATACTGCAAGTATTTTCTTTAATTTATATACTTGTTTTGCGAAAAAGGGAGGCTACCATTATACCTGGTAGGTGAAGTTGACCAGACATTTATGGTGATCATTAAGGACCAAACTCCGAATCCATGACGTGACTTCTGTTCATCATTTATATCCTAAATTTACCACTGTCGGTAGTTTCAAGAATTAACGCAGTCATTTACTGAATATTCTTTGTAAAAAAATAAATTTTAAATGAATTATTTATAGGAGATAAGTATTATGATCAGTAAATATACAGATACTGTATGCATTACTGACCCCCTCCGAACACAAGGACGGCTAAAAATAGCCACAGGCGGTCACAGTTAAGGTCACGTTCCCTTTCTTGTCACTGGCAAATGGGAGGGTGGTGATGATACCAGCTGTGTTTATTACCGGGGTATATTGTTCTTTTACGGTATGTTAAACAGGTTTATAAAACATTTTTATTATTTTAATATACCGGTAATCTTCATTTTAATCCAGCTTCCCAAACGTAAGTTTCAGTATAAAATAATTAGTGGTAGGACCTTGTGAGTGGTTTACTGTATACATAAATATTACATAAATTATTTCTGCAATTCTTCACAAACAAAACACATAACTCAATTGAACATGTGATGACCAACGTGAACTGTAAACACTGCATAACCCCGCGCCAAGTCATAACAACATAACAACTGTTCGAGTGGAATCGCGTTAGAGCAAACGAGTTCGTGTTTTACAAATATTGTTCCTCTATTCATCAATCGCGTTAGAGCCAATTCGCGTTGTCAAAACACGCGTTATAGCAGAACTCACTGTAATTCTTATTTATTAATAAACTAAAGCACTAACAACCTATTTGATCAGTTTGTACAGAAAATAATAGTAAAAATGAATGACTGGGCTCTTAACCCCTACGCTCCGGGCTAGGGTGGCGCCGGCCATACCCCCACGCGGGGTAAAAGAAGAAAAGTAAAATTTTCCAAAAATAATTTTTAACCTTTATAAATGATAAAACAATAAAAAAGACATAAGCAAAACCATATATTGTCCCTCTAGAAACTGCCGTGGCGCCTCGGTGATAAAGGGAAATAACCGGAGTTTTTTTTACGTCGAGCGCTCGCGGTCAATACACACATATGGGTCATTTTTCCACTTGCCTTTGTGTCCGAGATGGCCAATAATGTATATATTTACTGATCATAATATTTACTTCCTATAAATAATTTAGAATTTGTTTTTATAATTATTTTTCATAATAAGTTCTTGGCCACACAGTCTGTCGCCAGCTGTCTGGCTGTCTTTGTGTTTGGTATAGTGATTAATGCATAAAATAATAATAATTCCACAAATAAATACATTCATAACATAATCATAGCATTATTTTCCAGTAATTCTACCCTACAACACAACTACTGTACACTAATTTTAGCTATATTACTTTGATACAACATGATAAAATGGACAAACAATGAAAATGAAACAATTAAAAGTAGGTAATTACGTTCAGGAAGCTTCCCTGTGGCCGAGGTGTTGCGTGACAGGCAAATAGTCACACGGGAACCTGATAACCTGCGCTGTGCATTTAAACAGTGGTGGCTAAATCATTTCTTGGACCTTTTATTGCCATTGGTGCTTCATGCCAGTATATTGCATAAATGACTGTAATGAACAAGCACATTTCCTGCAAGTTGTTCTCCTTCCATACAGTTAATTTACATTGTCTTCTGAATAAGAAAATCTTGGAGAAATAGATGGCTCAAGCCATCCACCTGGCCTGATAATTGGCATATGGTGCTCTGAAATAAATGCCATCAGATATACTACCACCATGGGAGATTAAACACAAATGGAGAAGCTCCATGTAATAGTCCTCTCTAAAGAAGTTACTGTTCTGGAGAGCCTCAGTGTAGAATTCAATAAGTTCATGTCACCTACTATTGGTATGAGGAGTTCTGGTAACTACATCATTGTACTGTTTCTTGTTTATGTTTGGCCATTGGTTTTTTAAAACATTTGAATTGTTTTAGTTACTTTATGCTCATAGCCCTGTGTATATTCTGATATTTTCATGTTAAAGCCTTTTTTTTTGCTCTTTCACAGAATGATATGGATCAAGAACAACTCTGATTCTTCATTTATTCATTTTCACTAACATATTCTAAACTTACCCACATCAAACAAATTAATTTGACATTTCAGCAACATAGTATACAAGGTGTTCCACAAGTAATTTTTACCAACCTCTTATTTCTTTGCCGGTAGCAGGATTGCTTTATTGGAGACTGGGAGTCCAGCTCCTTAGAGGCCAAATTATAACAATTTGAGTGTCAGGTGTAAGAAGACAAGGAGAGAGATAAACTGACCTTTGGATCATCCTGTTCTTGTTACGCTCTACAACATTATTACTTCTGTGGTGATTGAATTAAGATATGCACTTTTGCATCATGAATCTACTAGACTCCATTTTGATGTTGCACTGAGCTACTTCTGTAGAACCTTGTAGGCACATGTGTTACTCTTATACATATTGTTTCCAGTTCCCAGGTACAGTACTTATTGTGAAGTTAAACATACAGTTGAACTCTCACTAACGAAACTCTAGAATTCTTTGTAAAGAATTTCTGGAATCATTACTAAATAACTCCTTTCTTTGTCGCCAAAGAATTCCCTAAACTTGAATCAGAGTTCTAAGTCCTTTAGAGTCTCTGGAGGTATTCTTTGTTTATATGTTGGTTTGCTCCATGTCATCTTATTTTTCATGCATTGTTTGGTCTTAGATTCCTGTCGTCAGTGACCTCACAGAATGCTCGCCCCCTCTGCATATCAACTTAGAAGAATGTCAGGTAATTTTAGAGGTGTTTGCTGAGCTTCAGAAGAAGTGGACTAGTATGAAGAACTTGCAAAAAGATGTTAACAAAGAGGAGTCCTATGTGCTTCCTACCAAGTCACTGGTACTTGAGGGCGTGTACTTTCAAGATCCAGAGTTTCTTCCACTCTTGTTCAGAGAAATACCAAATCTTTGTCACATTGAACTTCAGGTAGGACGATAGATACAGTTACCTGTTTGAAATTTTTGATACTAAATGAGGATGTAAAGTAGGATTGTAAAAGCATCCCCCCCATGTTGACCCATTTCTTCCTGAACTGTAATAGGTATCTCCTGGAATCTTTTCATAATAAAATCAGTTTTTTGGTAATATTGTACAGTACTGTACAGTATTTTTCTTCTTTCATCAAATTTCATCTTTCTAAATCTTCCCCATATTTATATGTTTTTTCACCTTTTGAAATAATCCATATATGAACATAGTTATAGTGATACCTTGGTAAGTTCTTTATTATTATTATTATTATTATTAAATTTTTGTCCTCTGGGCCCCGATGTGGGTCAGTGACCTGGGCCCAGGTGGGCTAATCCCCGTAAAAAAAATATATATAGACAGTATATCAGAATCCTTGTAGGACTAGTGCTAAGTCGCCACATTACTGTGAATGTGGAAAAAAAATCATGGTTAATATTCTGTAGTTGCCCTGCATGGAACTCATATTGATTCTCATACTGTACTGTATAAGGAGATAAAGTAAAAAAACATTACCGGTATAGCATTCCTGTCTTTTGGAGTTAATTTGACTTTTCTATTTCTCTTAAACATAGTACAAGTTCTTGCTCAGTCAATCATTACTTTCTTGTCGAGATCATGCTCTTCAATAATATCAGTTAAGTATTTCTCAACAATTTCTGAGGTTTCTCCTGGCTGAGACTTAAAGTCAATTAGTTTCACTTGAGCCCCTCTTTATGGCTGAAAGAAGTGAATTAAAACAGGAAACTCCTAGATGTTCCCATGGTTCCTTGCACCAGTTAAAAATGCTACACAATGATCATCTGTCAACTGTTTTTCTAATTTTTTTTTTTACAGCAAATGGTGTAAATACATTTGTAACACTTGCTTTGCACTTTGTTCTAGCACATTTAAATTCTGGTTCAAAGTACGTTTTAAAATTTTTTGATGCACAGTCAGTAGATTGAAAGATTTGGTTCTCCCTGACTGTATGGTATGCCCACAGCCACTCTGCTGCAGCCACTTCTAAATCCTTATTGCTAGGCATCACACTTTTAAAATAATCAGTAACTGTACTTTATTAGATGAAGCACTGACAGCAGACTTATGTTTATGTGCTTAGAGGCTTAGTAATATTAATTCCACCATGTGCAATGCTAAATTCACTCCTATATTTCTCACACCATACATCACTTTCAGTTGTTTTTGTAATAAATGGGTATTTAGATTGCTGGTGTGCAATAAATTAACACTTTCTTTAAGACAATTTTGCAATCACTTCTCGTGTTTACACACACACCATGCCTACTGCCCCAATGCTAAGGTGACTAAACCAACACTATCATTATACTGTTCATAGTTGCCATTTTTACGAAATTTTCCGCTGCCAATAGTTAAAATTGACAATGTTTGAAAGAATACAGTATTATCAAGAATTAGAATTGATTGTGAAAGTTTTTATGCACAAAAAGCATCCCATTAAATTTTAATTTTCGATAATTCCAAGGCTTACAAACATCAGAAATTTACACTATCAATGGCAGAAAATTGCTAAAATGGCAACTATGGCTGCTGACCCTGCAGTCAATGTGTACACATATACTCCTGGTATGGACTAGTTATCAAAAAGACAGTCAGACTCCACCAAGGGAAATATACAGTCAATACTAAACACTTGTTCTAGAAAGTAATGCAGCACATTTTCAGGATGACTTGAGAAAGCGGGACTGTCCTGTCAAAAATCGGGACTCTGGTCAGTTTAGATGTTCCCCTCCTCCCTATGTTCAAAATGCTTACTGACACTTAAGGTGCCAAGTATCCATGTCCCCCCCAATGATTGTAATCCTTAATAATATTTTTGGCCCCATCTGCCAATTTCACCTCTCATCCCTGTGGTCCTAATCTGTGTCAGAGTTAGAGATAGTCAGGACTTGCCTTTGATGAACAATACTGACTGCTTGATATGGGCCCTGCTCTGTCCTCAAATTTAAAATGTGACCCGACATTTCTTAATTACTGATACTTTTGTGATGTTTTGGACAGAGAGAAGTGTCTGCATTCTTGATTAAGGAATTGTCTTTACTAGTCTGTCATTGTATAATATTATTGAAATGTAAAGTCTGCAATCTTGAGGTGACTTGGTGACTTCAAGGTTCCTATGTAATATGTTAATAGTGTAGTTTAAATTTGTATACGGGGTCCCCGGATTACGAACGGGTTCCGTTCTTAAGTTGGAAATGTACGTAAGTCGGAACACGTGCTACGTGCATACCATATTTACAGAAAAATTTTAAAATCCCACTACAGTATATCATAGTCAAGTCCTTATATACACCTAAAGTCACCTAATTTAAGAGAAAAGACAAAATAGAATGACAAAATACAGTTAATGAAAGTAAAAACTAAGTCATCAAGTAAATAAAATACTGTACTGTAAATTAGAAGTTTAACCCCGTACGTATCGGCGGGTCTTTGTAAGTCGGACGTTCGTAAGTTGGGAGTCACCTGCAGTGTAATTGGAATACAATTGTCATCACTTATAGATTATTGAAACATTTATGTAAAAGTTTCTACATTTTTGCCATTCAAGTGTTCTCATTGTGAGTTTGTCAGAGTTCTTCAGTTAATTTTCTTTTACATTTAAATTTAACTTTGAATTATGCTTGAATTAATTGTTTGTTTTTTTCAAAAAATTTAAATGGTGTTTTGAGTTACAGTATATTATTGTTTACAGTACAATGCAACCCCTCGTGTCCTGAAGGCCTTGAGCAGACATTGTCATCATCTGGAGTCCCTCTGCCTCCTGGGGCCAAAGATGGAAGTCTTAGTCGAGAATGATATCTATTCCATCCTTTTTGGTATACCACCAAATTCTTATAATAGCTTTACATCTTGTATACTCCAAAAATTTTCAGACGAGAAAGAATTCAGGGAACAGTTTGTGCTGCAGTTTCCAAACTTGAGTAAACTGGACCTTGATGAGTTGTATTTTGAGAAGATTGTGTTACTTGATGTATACACTCTTGCCCTCCTCCTACAGCCCAAACTATTATCCTTTGGAAGGCATACTGGTGGACTAACAAAAAGTGTAATTTCAAATTATATTGAGCTCTGGAAAATTGCGAATGAAATCCCAGTTTCTTACATCAGCATCTATTTAAAAAAAGCAAAATTTGTTGATAGTGTGCGTGGAGTGCCAGAAGATCCAGAGATGGAATTGCAGTATATGGAAGAAATATTGCCAATGTTCAAGTCTTTAGAATCTGTTGAGCTGCAGAAAATGCATTGGAAGCAGAATCATGTGGCAAAATTTTGTCGAATGTTTGCCGACCGGATTAATGCAATCTCATTAAGTGACGTGCCAGTGAAGGATATATTTTGCCTCGGTAATATCTCTCATCTACAAGTAACATACAGAGGACCATATTATTTTGAGACGATAAACATTATCTTGGATAACCTTCCAAACCTGTTAACTCTGAGTATTCATTCCTTGCTCCGAGAATACCTTCAGGACAATAATGAAATTGGTATAGAACAAGGAAATGCATGGGATGAACTACAGCACATTCCGGAAGACCACGTATTTGATGAAATAGAGAATGAAGAACTAGAAGGATTTCTTGGGCAAATTAATGAACAGTTAAATGCAAATGTAGAGGCTAATCCTGTAAATCTACCACGTTTACGTGCCCCAGCACTTTACAGACCTGACAAACCTGTACGCAGACATAAAAAGCCCAAGTATAAAGTTCATCATAAATTAGCAACCTTGCGTATCGCTTCTTTGTGTGAGGCAGCTAAGGATCCCTCAGAGGTGAGTGACATGTAAAGGTTTTTCAATGACTGGAGATGGTACTACTACTACTTCTTATTTGTATGGATATGAAATAATGTACTGTATTATATAATGAATGGGAATTAAGGGAATGAATTTTTTCTCAAAAATGAAAAAAAAAAGGTATTTTGTGATACTGTACAGTACAGGTATCCCTGGAGCTACAAATGGGTTAGGCTAAAAAAATACATAAATAAAAAATTGTCAAGTGAATTTTTGTATTTTAAATAAATGAACAAATGGGGAAAAAATAGGGCTAGATTCATCAATTACAAAAATTCCCCAATATCATTCCCCAAAACACAAAATTGGTTCACAAACAAGAAAAAACTTAACTAACTAATGGTAAATAGTACATAACTACAGTACTCTAATTTACTGCCTAACACTTGAAAAAAAAAAATCAAATAAAATAACGTTTAACTTTGGTACATTACCTTATGGGAGGACGTAACACTCACAACACACCAAGAGCAGAGCAGCTCTCTTTGTTCATCTCACTCACTCAGTCAGCGCCAAGTGTTCTCTGTTTACCCTGAACACCTTCCAACACCACCCACACACCTTCCAACACCACCCACACACCTTCCAACACCACCCACACACCCTCCAAGAACACCCACACACCCTCCAACAACACCCACACACCCTAACACCACTCACACACTCTCCAACACCACCCTACTACTATGAGCTATTAAAGATGTCAGCTCTGGGGTGACTCTAGAGGCTGATACCAGACTGGCAGGGCTGTCCACTGATGTTGCACATGTGGAGGGCTACACCTAGTGCGGGAAGGGTGGCAGTAGTATATTTCCTGCACTGGCGCTTGTCTGCCTCGGTATGCAGTCAGGCTAACTCAAAATTATTGACACCTCTACTGGTATTCCTCCAAGCGTTACAGTGTGGAGCAATCATCTCCCAGGTGAGGGGGTGAGGGTCGTTAGGGGATTGTAAAGTAGCTGATTTGGTGGTCTATTGTCGTCCACGTGGGTAACATGGCCAGTCCAACATAGTTGTTCATATAGTAACTGAATGAAAAAGATACTATAAAAGAAGTTATGTTCATATACCCAAAATTATGAATTGTGAAATAACCATACAGTACTATAACTCCTACCTCAGCATGGTAGGGAGAGCACTATGGGGATGTGGCTGACTTCTGGGGTGGTGCTATTTGAATTTTTGCTTAGACCCAAATTCATATAAGTGGGGGAAGCTTTTGTATCTGGAAATAGTGGTGTCAGTTTAAGAAATTATATTAAATTTTCATATCTCGGAAGTTCGTATCTTGAGGGATACCTGTACCATATTTATGAATTACTACTACAGTATTTAGTGTATACAGTGCATACTCAGTTTCCCATTACACCAAGTTGTAAGGTGGCCAGTACATAAATATCTTCCATGTGCAATAGTTGTGGTATTAATGTCTCAGTTATTTTTTGTGGTTTACTGTGTAGTTTTCTATGAGGAATAAGGTTCAGTAATTATTTCAATGTGTGCAATTAAAGTTATAAAAGCCAAAAAGACTATTGGAAGATCTGACTGTCTTGATACTGATGGTTGAAGCCCCCAAAAAGTTATCAGAAATTAATTATTAGATGAGTTGATAGACATAGTGATGTATAAATTATAGATGGGTTTTGTTAGTGGAGAGTTTATTGGTTGAATAATTGGGTTCTCACATGAGTTTAAGCACTGTGTGTTTCCTATTATTCTGTTCTCATCCTATAAACTCAGTGGAAAGTGGAAACTTTTTTTGTTTTACCAATAAGGCTTTTTTTCCATTTCCACACACTCAGTACAGTAAGCCCTTGGATTTGCACAAGGATAGGAATCCAGAGCATTTGTGTAACATAAGTTAACCCATCACAGTGGGCACTTAAATTGGGTACAATTTTTTAAAGGGTATTAAATCCCTGGATAATCATGTACGTACTGTACAAACACCATTCACTTCATTCAGATTTATTCTTGTAGTTGTTACCTTATTCCAAACTACACTGTGGCATTTATTTGAACTGCCTGTTTCTCCAGGTTTTCCTCAAACGTCTTCTAAAGCAATTACCAAACCTTCAACGTCTTTGTCTGGGAACGTGGTTGGGGGCACTGAGCCGAAGGATGGAATGTTTGACATGCACAGGCAATGCTTTGGTTAATGTCATCACAGACCAAACACGAAACGAACCCCTCCTTACTCATCTTAAACAGGTACTGCAAGTGTCTTCATTTTCTTCTCTCATTTATTTTATTTATTTTTTCATTAAGCCAGAGTATGCTTTATGAGTACAGTGGTCCCTCGGTTAACGAACACAATTCGTTCCAGAAGGTCGTTCGTTAACCGAAACCATTGTTTCAATGGGATTTTGGGTAATTGGTTCCAGCTCACCGAAAATTACATACAAACTAAAAATAAATGCAGTAAAGTACTGTACACTTACTTTGAGGTGTGCATGTAGAGGCTCCTGGTTGATGATGAGAATTAGAATGGGGGTGGAGGAGAAGGGAGAAGAGAAGGCATTGGGGTGGAAGAAAAGTCACCCCATGCCGCCATTTCACCCATAAAATTTTAGTTCACTTGGTGTAATTCAAGATTATTTTCTTTAAATCAACACTGCTGCATTATATATTGTCAATATGTAAAATAAACTTCAGAATGACCAATAATTGTACTGTAAAAATGTAAAAATAGTTTATGTTCAAGAGAGTCTCAAGCAAGAAGCTTCCTCCACTGAGCAGGAACACACACACTGACGCCATTTTGGGTGTGTTGAGTGGCTGTTTGGCGCACTAAAAACTAGTTCCCTGTATTTCAATTATGTTAAATAATTGTTTGACTAAAAACTTTAATATAAGACTTGGGAATATTGCATAGTACAACCTTCTTGATATTTACTCAAATGGTAACGAATTTAAGCCCTAAAACCGATTACTATATTGGCAGACTAATACTACAGCTGGTGAGCAGGCAAAAACGTGTTGGGAAAAATTCGTAAGGAATTCGTGAACCAAAATTTTTTCGTTAACCAAAGTGAAGAATCTTATAGAAGGTAATTCGTTAACCAAGGTGTTCGTTAACCGAGGGATCACTGTACGGTGTAAGGGGTGATGTTTGGTTTAAGAGTACGGTGTAAGGGGCGGTGTTTGGTTTAAGAGTACGGTGTAGGGGGCGGTGTTTGATTTCAGAATACGGTGTAAGGGGCGGTGTTTGGTTTAAGAGTACGGTGTAATGGGTGGTGTTTGGTTTAATTGGTTTAAGAGTATGATGTAAGGGGCGGTGTTTGGTTTAAGAGTACGGTGTAAGGGGTGGTGTTTGGTTTGAGTACGGTGTAAGGGGTGGTGTTTGGTTTAAGAGTAAGGTGCAAGGGGCGGTGTTTGGTTTAAGAGTACGGCGATTTGAAAGTCTCTATGTATTGCTGAGACCTTTCAAATCTCTGCACTTTGAACTTACTGTAACTTCCTTGTTTTCCTGCTTATTATTTCCGTATTATATTTACTCCTTGAGATAACTCTCATTATTTTTATATGTTATTTATTTACACACTTTATGTGAAGCAACATGAGAAATTTCTAGTTTAATACAGTGCTTGGAGGTGTAGAGATGGCATGTTGACTGGAGTGATTAGGGAAATTGTGAAGGGAGGGGAGTCATACCTGAGAGAAAGTTTATCACCAGTAGAAACAGATTGTGGTGTTTGTTGGGTATGTAGATATTTTAATTACTTACCTGTAATTTTATATTTTCAGTACAAACGATCAGTTAGATTTCAAGAATTAATTGTTAACTTCATGTTAACAGTACAGTAGAAGTATACCTTGCTATATGTCAGACTTAAGTTCATAAGAAGTGCAACATTAAGTAATGTAAATAAGGTTATGTTCCTGGCAACATTTCTGATCAAAATTTTCTCATGAAATTATTACGGTAAATACCATACACTGCTCCCTTGTTTAACACATTTTTGTTTAACATGGACCCGACCAAACACTTTTTTTTTTTATTATTATTATTATTATTATTATTATTGTTATTATTATTATTATTATTATTATTATTATTATTATTATTATTATTATTATTATTATTATTATTATTATTATTATTATTATTACTACTACTACTACTACTACTACTGCTACTACTTTTTTTTTTTTTTTAAATAAACGTAACCTCCAGCCTCCCCCAATAGCCACACCTTCGCCACCATTTATTTACCTTAATATTAAATATCCTAATACATAAGAACCTATCCTACTACTACTACTACTACTCCGGGTTAAGACCACTTGAACATGTTTTAGTTTTAGTTTAACAAATTTATTGACAAATCTTGGAGTACCTCAGTTTGCCTATTCTGAGTAATTCAGTCAGGTTTTGACACTGAGGGTTAGCCAGGCTAACACGGGAAAAATTGGCCGAACACGGTCATTTAGAACACATTTTGTGTGGGGCCAGGAGTTAAGTGATGTCAACAAATCATTTGCTAGCATCAAAATGCCATAAATATGGTTTTAACTCACTTTAAACAAATGATATTAAACAAATATGATGGCAATTGGAAGATTGATGCTGGGGAGGGGACATACAGAGGGATTCAGCAGTTTTGGGCATTCTATAGTTACCTAAAGTATTTTGCCACTGTTACATTCATATCTTCTGTTTTTCTCTCTAATTCATAAACAACATATAAATCAAATGATGTATAACAAAGCAATGTATAGTACAGTATACATGTACTTGTATGTGGTAGGCAAAGATAGATTCAAGTGATAGGGTAATGATGTTGAAGAGCATATAGATATGCACAGAGACTTGCTTTTGTCATAAAATAGAATTTACTTGAAACCATCTTACTGTTTAATGGAAAAAGACATTCATCTAATTTACTTAATGGTCACCCAGACTAGAGGTGGCTATCCATGTCAAGGGTTATTTTGAAGCCCAATACTGTAATGTTTTTGATTCCATAGCTTGAGGTGGTACAGTGTTCCATAGATCTACCCCTTCTCTGTGAAGAAGTATTACCTTATATTCATGCTGCATGATATCTTGGAGAGCTAGAAATTGTGTCCCCTTTTGTTGGTGGTGTGTGACATCACAATAAAGTAGCCTATGTGCACATTTTACATCCCTTTAAAGATTTGGAATATGACTTTGAGATTTGCCATATTGTGTCCTGTCTGACGAGTTGTTAGTCCTAAGGCCACCTCATCAAATATCTTCATGTCATCCAGAAACATGGTAGTGTGGCTCAATATATTTTCATCAGTGTCGTTGAAGTAGATTGCCCACCTTGGTTGTGATCTACTTCAGTGACAATGACGAGTTGTTCAAAAGGTCTCAAGACTGGTAAACATAAGGACTCAACAAAGCACATTTAAGACCATCTTGTTGTTTACTGGAAGGTGACACAATTATAATACAGTGGTCCCTCGGTTAACGAGTTACCTTCCATAAGATTCTTAACTTCGGTTAACGAGCAATCCCTCGATTAACGAGTTTCTTACGAGCTGACCTGAACATGTTTTTGCTTGCATTTGGCGGTCCACCAGCTGTAGTATTAGTCCGCCAGTACAGTAATCGGTTCTAGGGCTTAAATTCCTTACCATTTTAGTAAATATCAAGAAGTTTATACTATTCAATAATTTTAAAAGTTTAATATTAAATTTTTTAGTAATTTTAACAATTATTGAACATGCCACCCAGCCTGCCAACACACCATACAGGCGTCAGTCTTTGTGTCTTTTCAGTGGAGGTAACATCTTGCTTGAGACTCTCTTCAACTAAATGCCTTTTTTCTGTGTTTGCAAGTAAATTATTGGTCATTTTGAAATTTATTTTACATATTGACAATATATAATGCAGTGCAGTGTTGATTTAAAGAACATAATCTTGAATTACACCAAGAGAACTAAAATTTTATGGGTGAAATGGCACCATGGGGTGACTTCTCTTCCACCCCAATGCCTTCTCTTCTTCTCCACCCCCATTCTAATTCCCATCATCATCATCCAGGAGCCTTTTACATACACACCTCAAAGTAAGTGTACTTTTCTACCTTTTTTGTTGAATTTAGGCAATTTTCGGTGAGCTGGAACCAATTACCCCAAAACCCATTTAAACAATGGTTTCGGTTAACGAGCAACCTTCTAGAACGGATTGTGCTCGTTAACCGAGGGACCACTGTATATAGTGAACTTAAACTAAGCATTTAAAATTCTTTCTACACCTCCAAATTAAAGACCTATTGGCAAAGATTTTTTTTTAGCTTGGCTGTCAAATAAATGTCGGCATTTATCTTTTTAAAACCAAAATAAAAGTATGTAAGAAACTAGGATAACTACAGGTTGACAATCCCTTCACCGAAATCCTTGGGGCCAGACGTATTTCGGTTTTCAAAATTTTTCAGATTTTGGAATGGTTAGGTTAGTTTTGGT